TTAGTCAGATATAAAGAAAAAGTCATAACAGGTTTATATTTTTAAATCCGAAAAAACATAGCTTGCTTAACTTACTCTAAGCCCTTGATGGTGAACATAACTCTGGATGTCTTCTTGTTATTATCTAGTGTAAAGTTGTGGTCTTTGACAACTTTAAGCTCATCAACGTCATCAGATAGCCTATAAGGTCTAAGGGTTTTGGATAGAGTTGTTAAACATTCGTTATTAATTCCACAAAACATATAAGGAGTAAAATAGATATCATTAGAGTTGACTTACCAAGAGGATGATGAGAGTTGTACACCCAATTCTTTATGTCTGTGTAGTCCTTGAAATTCATATAGTGCTCTTGATGAATACCACTTGCTGCATGCAGGTCTGTATTGTCGGTGAAGACGATTGTATGTTGATTCTCGGAGAAAAGTTCCTCAGGTGGTGTTAGCTCGACGACGAATCCGGAGATTAGTTTCCAGTGGCCCTCGTGCACATTCATGTCGAAATGGTCATATAGGCCATCCTCGTCACTTTAGCAGGTATTTTTCCATCCTTCCATTTTTCAAACACAGATTTAAAAGACTCTGTTAGCCTCAGTTACTAAATTAATCATGCTAATAATTATCTATACTATTGTTATGAGATGACTCATGATCGAGAAACTTACATGTTCATCAACTAACTGAAAACGCAATATTTCTCCACCACCATCTATCATCTCGGTCCATTTCTTCAAGACCTTCACTCTTATGATCCAATCGTCCCTCTGAGGAGATAGCTCCACAACCCTTGAAATATTTGCCATATCTAGTCGATATACGCTGCTTGTGTTGAATAGGTTTAAATTGTGTTTCTTGTATTTATAGGCACAACAATCATCCCGTAGTATATTTATTTTCCTTTTATTACACCTGTTTTAAATGGAAACTATATATTTTTCTAAATAAATTGACATTGATTGATGGTTGCAGATTTGTCTTCTCAATGGAAAAAGGAAAAGCTGAAGACTCTGATACATATATCTTCACACGCAAAGGTATGTTTCCTTACACTTTTCTTGAAATTTGAGGCATTTACTGAACACTATCTAATCTCATTACACAATTGGTTATGATCTGTGCATATCCAACCTTAGTAAACTGAATCGACTTGATGTATACAATTAAAATAGATGAAACAGCCAAAATATAGTGAGCCCACTAAGGGAAGATTTGAAATTATTGATTTCATTAATCTCATCGTAATTTTAATTTTACTTAAGGAAATTTACTTTTCGTGTTTGATCCACATAATTGAGAGTAAGACTCGTATTATAGGCCCATAATGCAACAATTGTACATTTCATTAACACAACTTATATCTTATTTTGCAATTACCAAATTTTAGGATATCAATTAACTTATAACCAAACTAACCATATTTTTAGCTCGTAGTAAGATTGAATATGATCCGTGAATTGCATTATTGTGGAACCAATAGGTTACCATATGACTCAATGTAAATAATGAGTTCAACAATGTCTAAGACCTAGAATCTAGAAGATCATATAGAAGTAGAATGATTAGAGGTTCTTGAAAACCTCTTTGAAAACAACATTGGTTGTTCTCCTCTGCGGCTTCCCTTCGCTGTCGACGATCAAGATCTTCAATCCCTTCTTGGAGGTTACCCTGGAAATTGCGACGTAAAGCTGTCCATGAGAGAAAACAGGCCTTGGCAAGAATATCCCAACCTGTGATAGAGACTGACCCTGGCTCTTGTTGATAGTTATTGCGAATGCAACAGCTAAAGGAAGTTGTCTTCTCCTCATCTTGAAAGGAAGTAGGGTGTCCGATGGAGTAATCAAAAGCCTAGGAATAATAACCTTCACACCGACCTTATCTCCTGTTATAACTTTAGCTTCAACCATAAAATCAGCTAATTGAGTTATCTGCAACCTCGTTCCGTTCATTAGACCTCCTATGGGATCAATATTTCTGAGCAACATAACTGGACAGCCAACCTTCAGTCGCAAAGCGTGATTAGGTAAACCAGCTACTCTTATGCTGTTTAGGAATTCCGTGCTTAGAGCCTCGTCGTTAATAGCGGCTGTGTCACAAGGATCTATTGTATCAGAGCTTAGATAGATTCTCTCCTCCCCTGGGAAAACGACATTTAAAACGTTCTAATCATATACCTTAATTAGCAAGAAACTCAATTAAATTATATAACTCAATTAGCAAGCAACTCAATTTGTGAATTATCCAACTGAAAAAAAGAGACTAACCATTCAGCTTATCGAGCATGTATTCATTGATCATGTTGACATCTTCGTTAGTGGGACAGAGAATAGCTCTGCCTTGGAAAAATAAGGGATCTGTATTGTCCTGTAGATCAGAAGCATCTCCATATATTTCTCTGCTTATGGCTTCGATAGGTTCCTCTGCATCAGTTATTAAAAACTCTTCCGGAATATCTATTTCAGCTTCTCCATCGTTAGGTTCTTCTATCTTACCATCCCCAACATCAAGAATCCAATTTAGAAAAATTCTTTAGATCAGTTGCTTCTTCTGCGGTCAGGTTGTCAGATAGTAATCGCATATTTTTTGTTAGCTTGAGAACCTTGCAGTGCTTCCAAAGATAAGATGAGTTCAGAGCAGAGCATACAACTTCTGCTCTACCGGCTCCAGGAATCACAGGAAGAACCTGTCGAAAATCACCTCCAAATACAATAACCTTTCCACCAAAAGGTTTGCCATCTTCATTACCAACAATATCAGCCACAGTGAGCGATCCAAAGACTCAAAACAATGCTTATGCATCATCGGAGCTTCATCCCATATAATCAGAGAAGCTTCTTTCACCAGATTTGCGAGATCTCCACCTTTTTCCATGTTGCATGTTGATGTTTCATGAGGATTTATTGGTATTCCAAACCTGGAATGAGCCGTTCTCCCTCCCTGTAACAAAAGACTTGCTATACCGCTTGAAGCAACGTTGAGAACTATCTCTCCCCGACATCTTATTGCCGATGACAATATTTTCCATAGAAAAGTTTTTCCTGTTCCACCGAATCCAAATAGAAAAAACACACCTCCAGTTCTCTCTAAAACAGCACCAACAATCTCGTCATACACTTTCTTCTGCTCATCGGTTAGCTTTGGCAAATCTCTATCGTGATTCTCTTTCTGTTCTTTCTGATTGTAGCTTTTCTCGTCGACGATTAAAACATTTTCCTCTCTTGCAACAGTTCTTCGTGGCTTCGGCATAGTCTTAAAACGTGAGAAATCTCCACCGTTCCTTTTTAATATGTTTTCAATCTCTTGCAAACACAATTCTCTCCGGTCTTCATCACTCAAGATATATTCTGAAACATACATCACCATTAGAGCCTTTATGGATTATAGTTTTCAAAAATAAAAATGCGTTTATTATATACTGGTCTATTAAGCTCGCGTCTTCTAATCATTTGTAAGTCCTCTGAAAGAGCCTCCCAAGTATTTTTCCAAACCAGCTCTGGAGAAGTTAAACTGTCGGAATTAAGCATGGTGACGAATAACTGCCGAAGTTGAGCTGCAGAAGTCGTGAAGCTTCTCCTGAGAATGTCATCAATGTACTCTTGGTCATCCTCTAACAAACCCCTGGCATAGCACGCATCCTTGTTGCTCGGATATAGCACTCCATTGTATGTCTTGATGTCGTCAAAACATGTGGGACCACGGACAACATTTAGCAACACCCGACAATAATAAGCATCTTCAATCTTCCTTGGGGCATAGTTGATTCTGCCAATTGCAAAACCTGTCTCCCTTTCTTTCCAACGTTTCTGGCTAGCAATATATACAAAGAAATTTGGAATCTGAACATAGGTTAACGTTCTAGCAAACTCATTTTCCAAATTCAGCTGAAACCAAGCCAACATCATAGTCTTCTCGATCAGTTTTCGTGTAACAACCCTTTCCAGCTTGTCCTTCCCTTTGAAGATAACCAACTGTTTCCCTTCTAAATGAAAAGTGAGTTTAACCACAGACACAGATCTATGATGTATTTTAAACCCCAGTGTTCTCCATACAGCTTCTGTAGCACCTACAAACCTTCACAAAACGTTTCAAAACTTGATTTCAGAAAACGGTGTCTAACCTAAAATTCATTCATAAATTATCAAAGGAAACAGAATATATTAAGATTTTGATGGAACATCTTACCGGCAATCAAAATAGTCTTTAATCTCGTTAACCTGCTCAACCTTCTCAGTGGACTCAGAACTATCTTCAGTCTGCTTAGCTCCATTAGTAGGTCTCCCATTTTTCTTTTTCTGCCGTGCTTCTTCACCAAGTGTGGCCTGCTCAGCTGACTCAACAACGACAGCAACACGATCTGATCCTTTGTTGATATACTTAAATAAGTACTTAATAGCAGCTGACTGGTTGCACCATTCTACATTGATGTGAGCTTTGTAACGGATGGACAGAGCTCTGTTATATGGAATCACGTATCGGTTGTCACACTTGAAACCATTCTTCTCGATAAACACACCTGGCTGGTCCCGTCTCCTGTATATTGGGAAGCCATCTTTGCTTATCTTGGTTCTCTCTGCATGAGCTTTCGGGAATAGCTTTGAACATTTTCCATTTTCCATACATGGTGAGTTTATGTTCACATTACCGCAAGGACCGTGAATCATCATATCCTTCACAACTTCATATAGTTCTGGCTCCTCCACCTTATCTGGTATCTCTGCTGATATAATCTTATCGATATCATCCGTAGTTGGAAACTTGCACTTCTGATGCATAAACAGAAGAATGTGAGCATGTGGCAGTCCTCGTTTTTGAAATTCTATTGTATACATTGCTGCATTGTTAAAAGAAGTGATCGTGAATCATAGGAATAATAATTGTGCAGAAATCAAATGAAAACATACTTGTTAGTTTACTACTTATAATATGATGGATTGGTACAAAACTTACACGCAACTGTTTGGCCTAGGAGTCCATTATCCGTCAAGTCTTCCATGAGTGACGCTAGTTTTATATGATACAGCCTGCAGATGAGTTCAGCTCTATCCGTAGGTTTCAGATTTGTACCATCAAGCTCTCGGGTTAGTTCTGGCCATTTAGGATTGCATGTAAATGTGATGAACAAATCCGGGAAACCATAATGTCTGCATATCGCCATCGCATCGAAATATAACTCCCTCATATACCTTGGTCCTCCAGTGAAAGACGCATGCAAGTAAAACTTATTACCTTGTTCCTCCATTTCAATGACACCTGCGTCTTCAGCTTGTTTGATTGAGTCATAACTGTCTGATCTCAAGCTTGTCTGGTTCATCCGCAGATAGGTAAGCCTGTTAGTCTCAATCATGGTGTAGGTATCGACCAAGTACTGCTGAAACAGCCTCCTCGAGTGTAAGAGATGGTTAGACTCTTTTGTTCTTTCAAATAGACGGAAAGCAAAAAACTGTCTAACAGAGATGTTTTCCTTCTTATTTTTTTTCCCGTAAACTGAATCTGCTTTCTTAATTCCAAGCCTGAAACCATCTTCTCCATAAACGAAACACGTAGGATATTGTAGTGGGATATACGACGGATGAATCTCGCTAATACGCCTCAGCTTTCCGGATTGTTTTTGTAGGATTATATCACGGTTCTTCCCCATGTCAAAATTGAAATCTCCGGGAATGATTGCAGCAACCTCAGAAGCCGTAGGAGTGTTGTAAGTTCTTCCATCAGTAACACGATCACTTATAATCCTCATGTGAAAACTGTGCTCAGGGTCAGTGTTGAATCTCTCTCTTGCAGACCGAAATGTCTTCACGTACGGGTTGTGCTCATCTAAGACCTTGACGAACAATTCAATGATTTCCTTCCGTAGTCGGTTCTTCTTAGTTGATTCTTGTGCATTTTTAGCCTTGCTGGATAAGAGAGGATAAACAGGTTAGTACTAATGATAACATAAACTGTTTGTGATTCAAGAATCTATACTATTAAATTATAAACTATGTAATATAAATTACCTGAGGAAAGTGAGCCTATTTTCGATCTCATTCTCCATGTCAACAATATACATCTGATAGAATTTTGCATAATCTCCAGGTTGTGGAATCATGCTGCCCATTAAATGGTAATTCTCTCCGTGCAACTGAAACATTTGTGGACCCCTCCCTTTTTTTACAGAATGATCAACTCTTCCACCCATTGAAGTAAAGGAAAAAAGCATGCTGTAAGGCCTGATGTGCTTCTGATAATGTCGGCTTAATTCATCATCTCCATAAATCAAATTTTTAATTTCAGGAGGAGGATCCTTTAGCAACGGCAACGTTACTTGTCCCTGCATACAGCAAAGCGTGAAGACTGGATTGCGTGACCTCTTCTTCTTGTTGATACGTTCACCATACCAAAACTTAGCATCACAGTGAGTGCAACGATATGTCATATCACCCTCATCATTATATTCTGTACGGGACAATCCAAAATCACCAGAAACTTAGTGTAACTTCAAAATTAGAAACTACCAAGATTATGCAAGACTATTAATTACCAAGTTTTAATGGTTCCTTTGTTTTCACTTTCCTCCTCCCTCTGGTTCCTTTTGTCGAGTTTGGTTGTTTCTTAGTTTCAGCTTGGACACACGGCTTTCGTGGATTCTTGGATCTAACCTCTGCGAATTCCGGTTGAGGCTGATCACATCCTGAAGGTTTGTCTTTTAGAACAACTTGATTCATCATTTGATAACTCATCTTCCGTGGTTTCTGGGCTACTACACTGAAATATATGGTCATAATCTCCATCATCATCTACAAAATAACAAAATGTCATAGTTTAGATAATTTTTGAATTCACCATGAAACTATTGAAAACAATACTCAAACCAAATAAACTTGCCTTCCGAAGATACCAACAAATCTGGGAAATTATGTGGTCTATCTTCAATAGTAGTCTCATCAGTATGTTTTATTTTTCCTCTAGGTTTGCGTTTAGAAGATGGTACTTTTGTTTCCGTCTCAATTGTTTGCAGGCTGGAAAGATCTCGCATCAACTTCCGACCACGTGTGGTTCGCTTCTGACTGTTCAGTGTGACAGCACTTACTGGTGTTCTATCAGGCACTGTTTCAGACGAAATGAATCAATCAGCTATTACTCCACAGTTGAAACTACGTAAGTTATAACGGTAAAGCCAATGAGTTAAATTATAAGCCATGAGAGAAATACTTAGTACCTTGGAAAGTCGGTTTTGTAAACAATGGGGAACCATTAATATCGACGCGTTTCAAACTCGTAGCCCTTCCACAGAGCTTGTATTTATGTTGTTAACACCATCAAAGATTCTGCTAAAAATTGTTCTTACTGGTACACATGCTTGAGTTTTCGTGTTGGAAGGTTTTTTGATGGTTTGAGTTGATGCTCTTGTTTTCTCGTTTTTCTGGTTGTGGTTGTTTTAGGATCCTCTGCACCATCTACTATGTGATTATCAACGCTCATCCCCTGATAATGACTATTAGTTCATAAAAGTTCATCCATTATGTAACTTGTTATAAATGAGTTTGAATCTAAGTGATTTTTTTTTATTTACCTTTACATATTTTCCATTGCAGGTGTCGTTATTGTCATATGAGCTTTTCCTCTTTCTGGATCTAGGAGGTTTTCTGGGACATCCATCGATGACAACTTCCTCTGTTTTCTTCTTCATGATGCTCTCCTTTATAGGTATCTATGTTAAATGAAATGTGAAAGCTTAGTTTGAACTAAAACAGATTGCTTAAATAGATTAGTACCTATGTAGGATTATACTCGCACGACTCTGATCACAACCTGGCTTCGGTCCGAATAGTAGTGTTCTTAGAGATATTAAACTCTTAATTCTGTGTAGTACTAAAATCTCTGCAGCTGAGCTTAATTGTATGTCATTTTTCACCATTTTATGACAGGGCGGGAAAGTGAAAAAATCGATTTCCCTCGTACCAAATTTCAAATTATGAAGCATGAATCTGAGTAAGTATATCAAAAATTTCAAAAAGTAAAGGTAAGTATAAGTTTACCTCCAATTTGTTTATTCGAAATCTACTTAGAGTGAATTAAGGAATAATATATTTTGTTAAGATATGATGCGTGTTTTAATTTGTAGATCTCTATCTTGCTAAATGATAGAGTAGGTACACAAATATAGCGTTTTTAATAATAAATCAATGATTGCAGGTTTTCCATTTTATTTAAGAAACACAAACATGTCTCATAAAAAAGTGACACAAAATTAGCCTGTCATTTATTTATGTTTTATGCTAATCAATGGTTGACTATGCTAATAAACTACTTTTGTGTGTATAGTACTTGTGATTTGGAGAAATGTCAAGTTTAATTATGACGTCGGAACATATCAGTTCAGTTCACATCCCCAATCAATTCAGGTAACTATCTCTCACAATGCATAGATTTTTACTTTTAGATTATCGCATGATTTCATATGTTCGACATATCTAACATAATTATAAAACATAAGATTCAAACTTGAAATCATCCAGAAATAAGAGAAACAGTGCTGGTCATAGTTAATTACAAATAGATATAGAGAGAAGTAGGTAATCTTAGAATGGCAAACATCTTCTGGTCACTTGCGTGATTTCCAAACTTTCAGTACAATCTTCAACCATCCATGAGTTCAACGTCACTATCATCGGATGTGGGATGAAGGCTGTATAATGTACACATAATATTATTGTTAGCTAATATTATTGTAGGTTAGAATTTGGTAAACTTAGAAATAATACATACTACTAAAACTTACAATATATTTTCGAAGTGTTCCACCTCTAAGTGACCGGTTGGATGAAAATCAAAAGTAGAGATACCCTGCACACTTTCAACGTTTATACCACCTACATGTATATCAAATAAACATTAGGAAAGTTGTAATTTAAATCTGGAACATCTTAGAAAGACATGCTAATAAAAAGTTGAAAACAAATCTCAAACAGATTACCATCTGATCCAACTACTCGCCAATCAGTTAAGAGGATGATATTTGTTCCAGTGTAACCATAACAAAGCCAGAAACGTTTGAACTTATCTGCTAACTCTCCTTTCGCACGAAAGTTAAGCCCATTGCCACTTAAAACATGAAAAACAGGTATTTCAGTTTCGTATTACTCACTTCCAAGCAATCTATACTATTAAAGACAATAGGTTTATAGAAATGATATACTTACTTGTTGTCCAGAAGCATAAAGTCAATCTTGCTAATATATTTGTTATGCATGTTCCAATATTCCTAGGAAGGAAAGGATCTATCATAGTGTCCAACTCCCTCACAATAGTTATTTGACCTATAAAATCTGTAATGCCACATTAGATATCACTACACAAAGTATTGCCTCTAAAAATAAAACATTTTCCGGTTATAAACAGAAAAATAAATAATTCAGCAAATTACCTCTAAGGAAAGATGTTCCGTCTTGAACAGCTGAACGATAAACATCTCCAAATGGAATAAGATCCAGAGGAATGAAACCATTAAAGCACTCAGAGTTAGAAACTTGGGTATCACGCGTGAGAACAATTTCTTTCCTCTGTTTGGTCAATCGAATCTCTGTATTAACTAACTGGACTTTGAAACCAGTTATGCTCCTCCAATCTTCTTCATGAAGTAGTCCCCTGAATCTCCGTTTCTGATCTTCTCTGTCCACGAAAGCATGCATCTTCGTGCCCTGTTAAATTTGTAGGAAAGATTGAGGACAGATAATTTAGTTAGTATCATGTATCATAAAACAATCTATACTATAAAACAAATTAAGTTCTAATTACCTCATCATCAACAAAGAGGAAACTTAGACCTTCAAAGGTATCAACATCAAGTGTATCCCAGATTTTAAACTTTCACAGTGATCCGTAAATCATCACGGTCTGGTGTAATATCAGCGAGTTTAGCGTTGTTCATTGTTTCAAATTTTTTTTCAGATCTAACTTTTTACTGGTTTTGAAGTTTAGATGATAAGGGTTCCTATTTATATATTCTTCATAAAGTATATTAATACGCGTTAGCTTGATGGTACACGCAATATATTGAGATCTACTTAATTGATTCGCTATGAATATCTAAACTGACAATTTCGATTGAGTGTATAAATTGAGGCGGACTCTGCAGTTAATGGTACTGTAAATATACTGAGGATTCTCTGAATATATTCACTTTTTCAGAAAAATCTTATCTGACAGTTTCAATTTTCTTTGTAGGTGATTATTACTCAAGCATGAAACCTTGACCAATTTCTCAATACAAAAAGATAAGTATTTAACGGCCCACCAATTTCTTCTAATCCTTTTTTCTTAGACTCTAGCTGAATGGGCCACAAATTGTGTAGGCCTTATAAACACTCTATTTTCTCTATCAGAGAGTCTGAATGTTAATAATCTCAAGTAGATAAGTCTCAGGTACTTAGTTACACTAATATTGATTTGGTAAACGATGTCTCTATTGGATATATATAGATAAACCGGTCTTAGGCTCTTCAGATGATAATACTATAGATGTAAGATAGTCGATATAAAGCCAACTGAAGTGATAATTGTAACCAACTTATTAAAAAATCCAAATAATATCTCAAATACTGAAAAAATAAAGCTCAAGCTAGAAAGGTCTTTAGAAATCAAAAAACAAAAAGATGACAATGTTGACTCATTATTCCTTGTGACAGTTTGGGATGCACTACTCGGTCAACGTCTTCACATCAACACCATTGCTTTCGTCTTCTAGGTTGATGAGCTTGGTGCACTGTTTCTTTGAAGTGGAAGAGAGCTCACTTCTGATATTGCTGTCTTCAATACTGCGCTTAGGAGATGGTGTCATCCCATTGCTCTTCACAACAGAGGCCTGAAATAAATGAATATGATGAGAGATAAGGTTAGCTCTGGAACTATGAGTATAGTTATCTACACAGATCCTAAAATATAAACTTCGCATACCTCATTGTCAGAATGAATTTGAGAGAGATCATCCTCAACAGTAATGATCTCATTGGCTGAATCAGAATGGACCCGTGATATGACCATTTTTTCACTTTGTGAGCCTTGTAGGTGTCATTTCCATACATGATGTGCTCCTTCTCTACACCCACCAAGAAATCGAAAGTGTTCCCAACCAAATCTTTTATGGAATCAGGAAGAAGTTCCGGGTCTTGAATCTACACAGGTAAAGTTTTATACATTTGTATATTTTGTAATAATGCTTATATTATATATTCAATTGGATTCGATAGTACCTCATCAGTAGAACCATTAAGTAGGAATGCAGCTGTCTTGTTGACCATCCCGTTAGCAACAGAATCCATGAGCATTATCTTAGTCTCACCAGAATCATCTTCAATGATTAAATGTAGCTTGAATCTATTGAATAACAAAAAAATTTCCTTGTAAGTAAAAAACTAAGTAGAACAGACATATTGCATTTCTATCAGATGCAGAGTATAGACTTACTTTGGTGAAACCGCTTTGATATTTGTCTTGCAGTTATCACAATACCAAATAGGAACTACTGGTCGTGGTCTGGTGGAAGACTCCTTTTTCAAGTCTTTGAAAACCCGATGTTGACATTTAACGCAACCAAAGTAATACCATCCCCAATCAGTATCAATAGCAGTGACCTTTGCACGGATTCTAAATTTCTCAATCTACAACAATAAACATAAACAGTAAGCTCAAATCCTACTCTAGTAGTCAGATCCACTTTGTTCTTTGTATACTATGAATTTCCAAAACAGAATCATTACCTCGGTAGAACTCGTGACATCATAAACGGACTTAAGATCAAGCGTCAACCACTCATCCGCCTTTTGCTGTTTCTGAAGCTGCACTAATGCATCGTCCTCTTTCAGGTTCATTGCAATTGCCAATCCATCAGAAGGTAAACTACAACATTCATTTCAAGTTTTGGTAAGTATAATTAGATAAGATTACTGTAATGTAGATTACAATATAAAATCGTTAAAAATAAGACAAAATATAGATTAACCTTGCTCGAAAGTGGTCAGCCTCGGGACATACTGGATTGATAATGAGTTGAGATGTATCATAAGCATTGGTAACTTGCAAATCTCCTATGCAATGTAATAATGTTGATATGAAGTTAACTTTAAGCAATACGGAAAAATCAATTAAGTTCTGTTTAGGTTTTTTTTTGTATGCTTGCCTTGATAGAAGTTTATCTTTGCAAATCTGATCATGCATATCACCGGTTCGCCATTTGCTTCCTTGCATGCATCATATAACTGCTCAGCATAAGACTCCCAGAGGCATCCGTTAACACGTTCATCACTGCATTATCCAATACTTCGTGATTAGTCTATTTGTTCATTCAAACAAACACAAAATAAGATCAATAAAATAACATTGAAATTAATCTTACTCAGTGTCTCTCAGAACAAACTCGAGCTTACGTTTTCCTTCCCTTGGACAGGTACAGTTTGGATCTCCTGGACGTTGAGTACTTGACCAATGAAATCTGGTGGAGAATGAACAAAACCAGTTCATACATTACAGAAAAAGGTTAAGGGAAAAACCCTTAAAAATACACAGACTTAATTAAATCTGGATAAATAATACACAAACTTTTTTCGGTCCCAGAACAATACACAAACTATTTTTGGAATCCAAAACAATACACCAACTTTCAAATTATGAAATATTGCAAATGCGGGTTTAATCTCCGTTAGTGAGTTAAACGGAAAATTAAAAATTTCGTTAACTTTTACTGACACGTGGGTTATAATTGACAAAAATATTATTTTGCCCTTTCATCATTTCTCAAAATTGATTTATCCCCAATTTGATTTTTGAAATCCTAATTTTGATTTCAATTTCTGAAAATAAAATAAAATAAACTATGCCTTAAGCACCTCCATCGCCTCCTCCATATTTGACTCTTCTCTGTCCATCATTCTCATTGCCCCCACACACGCCTCACCGCAAGCATCACCGAAGGATCCAAAGAAATGGTGAGAGAGAAACTTGGTGACCAGAGATTGTTGTTCTTCCGTTCTTCGAGAGTAGTTCAATCGAAGGAAGAAGCGCATGTAACCTGTTCGACGAAATACCTGTGACGAGCCAGCCATTAACGAAGCTGGTGAAGCTTTGAGAACTGCTGGTGATTGGTTTTAGTGCCCAGAAATTGAGTTTCAGAAATTAAAATTGAAATTAGGGTTTGTAAAATTAAAATGGGGATAAATCAATTTTGAGAGATAAAAAAGAATGGTAAAATAGTATTTTCGTCAAATATAATCCATATGTTATTAAGAGTTAGTGATAGTTTAAATCTTCCGTTTAACTCACTAACGGAGAGTTAACCGTGTTTGCAAAGTTTCACACTTTGAAAGTTGGTGTATTGTTTTTGGTTCCAAAATTAGTTTGTGTATTATACTGGGATCGAAAAAAGTTTGTGTATTGTTTGTCCAAATTTAATTAAGTTTGTGTATTTTTAAGGGTTTTTCCCAAAGGTTAATAAACTAAACTTTTATATTAAACAATAAGAAAATTACCGATGAGTATGCAGTGGTTCAGACCACCATCGATAATAGACCGAATAGGAATCAGTTCAAGAAACTGGCTGTCGTTTTTAACTGAGCAGGTGCTTACTTTCGTGTTCAATGTCATTGTCATTTTCCTCTTGCTGTTTGTAGGACGGAACTGACCCGTTGCATGAGCAACCTGGAAATTGTCAAGGACTCTCCATTCGCCAACTTTCATTTCCTTGGAGATCCTACCTATGTCCTTCTTCTTCGCTGTAGTATGTATTTTTCCACCCTTCAAACAATAGTCCAATATTGTCAAGTGTGCCTAACGATATTATAAGATTATCAATATTTTACAGAATCTTAACTTACATGTTCATCAGCCAAGATAAACTCCATCGTCTCACCAGCCTGGCCAATGTATTGTCTCCAGCTGTGTAGGACTTTGACACGCATCCTCTAGGTTGACTTGAAGGGTTTGAGATCATCAAGCTTGGTAAACATCTGACCAATAGTCATTATGCTTTGTTTTAGAATTTAAGATTCTGTTTTGAAATGTGGAATGGTGCCGAGGAATGAGAACTTCTTGGGGTGGTTCTCTTATATTTATAGTATAGGTGTTATGTAAGCAAGTTAGGGTTTCATTCGCTCTACACCCCGAAGATTTTGGAAACTCCAATATATGACAATATATTGTTTTGCATAGATTGTGGAAAGATTACCTTAAATCATGCGTGCAGAATAAGCTTGTTTTCTTCTCTCTTGATTGCAGATTTGATGAATTACGGGAAAGGCGGATGATCACGTTTACAGTTAAGCATATTCCAATTCTGAATACACAATCATATATTCGAAAATCCGGGTAGTTGAACGTTAACCTTAACTGGATAGATTCTTAGAATATCCGGTTTAGCTATTAATTGGTGGGCACGTTTTCTAGTATAGATGAGTAAATCGATTAGATTTCGCGGGTATGGTTTAAGGTTAGACTTGCAAGATCCGCGTGTTTTGTTACATGCTGTCGGGTCGGGTTAATTAGCGTAATTAGAGGTTAATTTCGGGTTAAATGGGTATTTGGCTACTGGGATAGACGCTTGTTTAGTGTACTTTCTCTAGTTGTTCCTCTACTTTAATAGTATAGATAAACCCTACTTAAGAGATCTGGATATATTTAAGATGGTAGTTGTCAATGTCATCACCGCCGCTGCAAAATCAAAGGAGCACGGTATTGATCAATATGTGTCACGTCACGGTTCGTTCTCACTCTCTCGCTTTTCTCACTGACTCTGTTAGCAGTAGATTACATGCCTCTCTCATGATTGTAAACCTAGTGTGCTTTCTTGGATTCTTTGACCCGTTTTCATATCAGTTTGGTGAATCTGTTAAATCTGGAATCTATTTCAGCGTTTTCTCCTTTACTTGTTGAATATCACGATTGAATAAAGAAAATTACACTCAGGTGGACCTTATGATGTGTACTATGTAAACTCTATTCCCCCGGTTTCGCTTCCCGAACCGGTTTAGGAATATATGTTGTCGACAAAAAAAAAAAAAAAAATTACACTGAGGTGGACTTTTTGAGTTTGGCTTTACACTTTGAGGGGACTTTGTGAAAGTGGTGGACTTTCGCTAAGCAAGTTTACACTTTTACCCTTTTATTTTTTTATCTATCCTTATGTGTTAGTTTTCAGTAAATTAGATTTACCCTATATTCCAATTTTTAACTCTCTCTTCTTACCGACACACCCAAACGCCGGAGATCTTTATTCTGAGGCATCATCTCTTCTCTCCCTCCATCTCTCTTGACAATCTCATTTCTCCCTCTATTTTCTTGCATTTTATGAGCATTTATTTTTAATTCGAAAAAAGAATAAAAGACAAAAATATCCAGGAAAAGTTGTAGTAATTACAGATCCGACCACCAATTATCCGGATCCAACGGGTTATATCCATATGAAATCGGGTAACTCCCTAAAATCTAAAATCCCTAAAATCGCGTTCTCTCTTTCTCTCTTCACTGTTTCAGTTTGTTTCGCGTTTCTGAGAAAGAATTCAAAATTCGAAATCGAAGAGAGTGAGAGTTTGAAGAGTGAGTTTGAACGAGAATTTCCGAAATCGAAGATGGTACTCACGAGAAATCTCGAGAAGGTCTTGGTCTCGAAAAAGAAAGAATGTCGAAAGAAAAAGAAAGATGTGGAATCTGCGTCACCCGAGATCGGCGCGGAAAAGCAACCGGCTCAAGGTGAGGAGAGTGAGGAAGAGGAGAACGAGAACTCAGAGGAAATTAGGAGTGAAAGAGAACTCAGAGGATACCCTCCGACTAGAGGTGCAGAAGGAGCAGAATATGTCGGGAGCGACGGAGGGAGTCAAAGTTTGAGAGACCCTCCAAATGGAGAATTTGCTTGTGACGGGAGCGACGGAGGGAGGAGACAAAGTTTGGACCCCGAGGTGTTATTTGCATGACCTCGAGAAGAATGGTTTGAGACTCACCCGCAGTTCAAACACATCTTCCACATGCCAAGGGAACGAAACCACAATCTTCAGGGAGTTTGGACGCTGCTTCTTCGAAACGCATGCATTGAGAAGAAAAAAGAAGTTTGGTTCATTGTAAATGGCGTGCCTATCCGTTATGGTCTAAGGGAACACGCCTTGATATCGGGATTGTATTCCCATAACTATCCAAGCGGTTTTGCGGAAAATAAATCTAGGAAAATGGCATTTGTGGAGAAGTATTTTAAACTGGGTTCAACAGTAAGATATCAAGATCTTAAGCCAATGTTAGAGAAGATGAAGCCTCCTCCGAATTCTGATGACAGGCTGAGGATGCTGATATTGTACTTTTTAGCTAGCATTATCAAAGGGCAGACGAAGACTGGAAAAAAGCTAGTTCCGTGGACCCATTCTTGTTAAGAGCCGTGGGTGATCTGAGTTTGTGTAGGACATTTCCTTGGGGGAGATTGTCCTATGATCACATGTTAGAAGGGATCTCCAAGACAATGACCCATTTCAATGGGGCTGTTCCAGGATAGAAAAGCAGTCCCAACCATGGCCGATTCCAGGTTTCATTTTACCTCTTGAGGTAATATTTATTTCGATTTCAGGATTTCGTATTTAACTTTTAATATTTTAAGTCTAATGCTTTCTAACTGTACCTCATTGTTTTCTGTGTAGTTCTTAGCTTTCGAGGCTATTCCACAGTTAGGTGAACGATTTCTACAACCTTTTCCAGGCGCAGATGAGGAATGTCCGAAGATGTGCAAGTCAATGTTCAAAAAATGCGACATGAAAGGAATTCCTTTCGAGAGAATAAGTGCACAACTTGGTACAACTAAGGTCAGTTATACTTTTGCATATAAGCCTATAAATTTTATTGTAAATTATTAACCTAGTCTTTACTCATTATTGTATTTGCAGGACATTGATAATATCCTAACTGCAAACGCTAGTGAGAAGCGTCTTCTGGAAAGAATCACAGAACCTGAGGACGACGTTGATGAGCATTGTGTCGTTGTCGAGAGTTGGATGAAGCTCGCAAATCAATTGCAGGTTATATTTTTGAAGGAGATGTACGACGAAGATGTGGCAAGATTAGCTCCTCCTCAGAACCATGAAGCGGTGAACACCGAAGCGGTGAACCCGGAAGCTGTTAACACGCCATCCTCAGAATTGATAGAGCTTATCCAGAGCATGAAGAAGGAGATGGAAGAGCGTATGACGACAATTGAGAAGAAAGTTGATCGGTTGGAGGTAAGGATAGCTCCGATTGAAGCTTATGTGAATGAGCAAACTGCTCATATGAGGATGGAGGATGACAACATTTGCCATGACATCTCACAGGTAACAAACTATGTGTTTTCAGATTTTAGAACAAAAGTAACACTTGGTGAAACTGAGTATAACTGTTTTTTATTGTAGGGTTCAAAAGAGAGAGACGGTAATGAAAGTGGTGACAGGGATCTCGAAGACGTGGCAGAGGGACTTCGAGACCCGCCACAGGTCAGAGACCCTTCGCAGGACAAGGGTCTAGAAGAACCGCCACAGGTCAGAGACCCTTCGCAGGACAAGGGAGAGGAAGAACCACCACAGGTCAGAGACCCTTCGCGGGACAAGGGAGAGGAAGAACCGCCATAGGCCGATGAAAGTCGAGAAGAAGCCATGGAGGAAACCATGGCCGATGAAAGTCGAGAAGAGTGGAGGAAGGAGGCATCAAGAGTGGAGGAAGAAGATGGTGATGTGGGATAAGTTTTACCCAACTATTAGTAGATACCGCAAGTGCACGGATCGTTGGTAGTATGGGTTATCGAACACAAGGACCAGAAAAGTTGCACTATGAGCTTATGAGATTAAAACTTAGCTAAAACTAAAATATGGGGGTTTGGTTTTAGAGTGTGAACAGTGACGAAAATAACAATGAGTGAGCTTGAAATCAAGTGAAACAAGTTATCAAATCAATAGGGAAAGCATTGGGCACAAGAGAATTCATAGGTCATCAAGGATTGGTTTATTTTGGATAGTTAAACAAGGAATCAATAGATATGATCAAGAACTTGAATTATGAATGGATAATCAACTTACTCCCGCAATGTCAATTAAAATGTCTAACAACCTAAGATCACTCTACTCCCATAGGCAATCAAGTGGTTAAACAAGCACAAATAATTCAAATTCAATATGTTCCACAAAGCATCATAATTCTACTCCCGCAGGTTATGGTGATTTGTTCATCAAGATTATTTCAAGTGATTTATCAAGCTTTCGGAAAGTAAATCAACTCTAGGGCAGTAGCAGGACGTTCAGTCAAAGCTATAAGCATTAAGCACAAATCAAGATGAGGAACTCAATCAATAATCCCGAATCTAACAACCTAGTGATCAATCCATGAATCCCTTGAAAACTCTTGAACCCAACAATAGGACTACTCAGCCATGATGCAAACAAACAAGCAAGAGATGTATGAAAGCATTATGTGAGTATTAAAAGAGATAAGGGATGAAGAAAGCTTCTCTATTGAAGAACAAGTCGAAATCTCCCTTGAAACTCTCAAATCCGAAATAACAAAGTGCAAGAGAAAAAAGGAAAGAACAAAGTGTAAAGGTTTTTGTGTGTGTGTGCTTTAGATCTTGAGAAACGCCTCTTCTCTCTGCTTCTTCTGCTCTCCAGGACGGCTCTCTCTTCTCTCTGACGGCGCACACGCTTCTCCTTTTCTCCAGAGGCTAAAAACTTGCATATATAGGTTGTAGGTCGGTTAGGGTATTGAAGTGCCGGAAAAGGAAAGTTTCCATGAGCTGAGCCTTCTCTCCACGTCGTGTATGGGCCGACATTGTACCAAGGAAAGCTCCAAACATTAGCCAGCCTCTTCTTTATTCATCAAGGCCTTTGGCGCTGCTGCTTGGGCCATTAGACACTCCAAATCCTCCATGGGCTTCACTTGGTCGCTAACCGGACATGTCTCGGTAGAAAATAAGTTCCGGCCTGATGGTTGATCCAAATGGCTTCATTCCACTTCGACGTGATGCATGACTCAAGTATCTATCTTTCCATATCAAGATCGTGACTTTTGGACGTCGGGAACTCCTCTTCGCGCGGCCAAACTTCCGAAGCTTCGTTCTGCTCGCCTAGCGAGAACTAACACTTGGAGATAAAATGATGCTCTTGACTTGGAAACTTGCATGGATCATGGCTTGAGGCTCTTTTGCTCCTTTTTGCATCCTTTTTGATAGTTTACCCTGTTAAGACTCTAAAACCAACAAATACAAGAAAACTACCTCTAAAGGCATAAAACCTTATGAAAGTGCTTAAAAACACATGAAAATACTAAGTAAAATCATGTAAATTATGGATATATCAGATGGCAGAGATAAATCGCAGGAAAAAGGAAGTTGATGATGTTTGTGGCAAAGAGAAAGAAAGCGAGCCCGAAAAGGTAATAGTTGCAATTCTTTTAGTATATTTTTACTTAATATTATTTTTAATATTTTTACTTTGTTGGATTATAGGGTTTAGACTCAGATAGAGATGGCAGGAGAAAGAAGGAGGTAAAAGTCTCGATAGTGTGGTCGCTTCTCCTGAAGGCAATGTGGAGAAAGAAGGAGGTAAAAGTCTCGACAGTGTGGTCGCTTCTCCTAAACGACCAATTTCTCATCGCCCTAAGTGAAAGTCCATCTAAAACGGGATCGAGATGGAATGAACGAGAAGCGGGACGAGGGTAAAAGGCAGAAGCGGGAGAAGCTCTTGGAGGAGGCTAACCAGCCGAGGGTGTCTACAAGGGTAGCTGGGAAGATAGAGAAGAAGGCAGCAGAAAAGGTAGAGAAGGAAAGGAAGAATGCAGAAGAAAAGCTAGAAGAAGAAAGAAAGGAAGAAGGCAGAAGAAAAGGCTGAGAAAGAAAGGAAGAAGGCAGAAGTGAAGGCTGAGAAAGAAAAGAAGAAGGCTGAGATGGGAAGAAGAAGAAGGCGAAAAAGGGAGAGGTTTCGAGAGAGGATGAGAAGAACTAAGTTTGTTTTGTGTCTTCTATGTCAAACTATGTCAAACTGGGTGTTTTTGTATTACAATGATTAAGGTTGTCAAACTGAATGTTTTTTTTTAGTTTGTATTACTAGTAAAACTATGTCAAACTAAGTATTTTTATTTTGTATTACTAGTAAAACTATGTCAAACTGAGTGTTTTCAACTTTGTATTACTAGTAAAACTAAGTAAAACTAAGTTGTTTCATTTTGTATTACTAGTAAAACTAAGGAAAACTAAGTTGTTTCAGTTTGTATTACTAGTCAAACTAAGATATGATAATGATGATGATAATAATATTACATAGGTTCAGAGAAGTTCTCTCGAAGTTTTCTTATGAAACAAACACACTGAAATAAGAGAGTAGGAGTACATTTTGGATGTTTATTACTCCAATGAACTACCATCCGTCAAAGATGGTCTTCACCACATGGTCAACTAAGTCCTTCAGTTTTTCAAGCATTCCACGGTGTTTTTTCAGCTCCTCACTCATTCGCTTCACTTGTGCTTCAAGATCCGACAGTTTTTGACTCTGTTTATCCTTCTGCTCCTCTATCTCTTCCCTTAACTTGTCGAACTCTTCCTCAACTCCGTGAAACCAAGGGATGCGCCAGTGGAAGCGGTCATTCTGCATATATCATCAGAATGAGAACTCAGAACACTCAGAACTCAGACACTTATAAAGCTCATAATCTGGAGTGAAATCCTCGTATAACTCACCTTATATGCCGAGCATGTAAAGTATCTGTTTCCCAAGTCTCCTTCGATTTTCGAAATCTCGTGAACGATGCGTGCACCACATGGACATTCCTTTGGGATCCCACGTTGACCATCAGCGACGAGAGTGATGTAGTCCATCTCCCTCATCATTGCCTTCATCGTAGCTTTGTCTGGTGATCCCCACATAACTCCGAAATTCAAAAGAACAAAAGCACTAAAATTAGTAAGACTGAAATTCCATCCCAGATTCGTTACAGCTACTAAAACCCAAATACAATCGAGCCCAGATTCGCTACAACTACTAAAACCCATATGTAATCGAGCCCAAGAACTACTAAAACCTAGATTCGACAATACTAAGACTGGAAGAAAAAGTTATACTTACTTAAGTCGGATATACAAGGAAGAGCGAATCGGAATAGGAAGAGAAATTATTGAGAATTTGCAGATCTGGTCTCGGAGACTCGGGCTCAGATCTAGGGTTCGAAGGAAGAAGGGGAGGAGAGAGGACAAGAGGAGAGAGAACGAAAATGGAAAAATGAGAAGAGAGAGAAAATAAGGTCCTTTTATATTTGTATAAATTTTTCGTTTTTTTTTTCTTTTCCTGAACCACACACGAAACACGTGCGTGGCGCCGTCGCGCCGTCTTTCATACAAAATTAGCGCCGTTTTTCCTTCAGAAAAATACACTTAGTTATACCAAGGTATTAGTTGTACCAACACTGCAAATAGTTGTACTTTGGCTGGTTTTTATATTAAATCAGTATTACTTAACCTTGTATGTATTTTTTCTAGTTTTACAGAAGATTTTAACGGATTAACATATGATGTTTATTACTTTATCCATTAATATGTCCACAAATTGATTTCTGCGAATCTCGCATCCGGAATTGCTTGTTCTTAGCAAAGTGACCTTAGAAGTATATGGTTGACATAGTGTCCAATACTTGCAAACAAACTATTTTCTTCTAATTGTGTTATTTTTTCCCAAAGACACAAATTATATTTAAAAGTTGTGGATTTTAAAGGTTATAACTATTCTCTTTTCTTATAATTTCAATTTCGTCAAAGGTTTAGCAAGTTGTGGATTTTATAAGTTCCAACTAGTTTTACTAGTTTTACCAGTTATCCAAACCTGAAACAAGCTAAGTAATACAAAGTATATAGTTTTACTCAACGAAAAACCAGTTTTACATAGTTATCAAACCTGAAACAAGCTAAGTAATACAAAGTACATAGTTTTACACAACAAAAACCAGTTTTACACAACTTATGGATCTGGACTTGGCTGAGAAGATTTCTCTAGGCCCCCCACACGATTCCTTGTCTTTTCCGCCTTTTGTTTGCTGTCCTTGGACACCGGTATTCTCCGGGACCAAAAAGTCTCTTCGTTCTCTTTCTTCCCTTTTTCGGGATAGGTTGCAACGGTATGATTTTCTTTGCCTTCACGTCTTCAGGGACCTTCCATTCCGATTCATGAGGCACGAGAAAAATCGTCCTCCAATACGCCAATTGCCACACCTCGATCAAGTAATAATGTGAGACCAGCTCAACCAATTGCATAGGATATCGAGAACTATCTACATTGCTGGTGTTGAATTCCATGAAAGCGGCTAGTGCGTGGACACAAGGAATCTTCTCAAAATCAAACACCCTGCAACTGCAACTTTTCCTGATTAAGTCCACACTGTAATTCTTACTCTCTGGGTCAGCGGTGCCGTCGGATTTCTTAGCTACTACATCATAAAGAAGCTCGAAACTGTTTAACTCCGTCGCATGTAATTTCTCAGCCTCCTTCCACATATCGTGCATTAGGTTTTCCACCAGAGGTACCAACTTATGCGCTTCTGATCCAGCAGCGGCCTCCTTCCGATGTTCATTAAACCATTTAGAAATTTGTGCAATAATCGCATCAAGCATGGGTATCAAGGCGTATCTCCTTGCAGGCCTAAAAGTACTGTTTAAAGACTCCACACAGTTGCTTGTGTCTAGGTTGTACCTTACTCCCGGAAAATGAACCCTTGCCCAAGTTTCCTTCCTATTGTTCGTAGTCTTTACTAGATACGCAGCCGCATAAGGAAATCTCGCTTCAAATGAACTGTAAGCCGCCTCAAACGCAGCCACCGTGTAATGCCTGCTCATCTCCCTGAAATAAAATGAAACCACGCCTTTGTTGACATTAAAGGCACGATCCTTCACATTTTGAGACAAATGCCATACACAATACCCATGATGAGCCCTTGGATACACATAAGCTACGGCATTGATGAGGCTCTCATTTCTGTCAGTCATAAACACCAATTCGGACGAGTCTGGTATAACAGATTTCAGCAACTCGAAAAACCAATTCCAGCTATCATTGTTCTCACTATCAAGTACACCAAACGCTAGGGGATAGTTGTGCCTATTAGGATCTTGAGCTGAAGCAAAGACTAGCACACCACGATACCCATTCTTCAGATGCGTTGCATCCACAGTTATCACCTTCCTCATACATTGAAACCCTTCAATGGTAGCTCCCAAAGCAATGAATAGGTACAAGAATTTTCCGGCTTCATCCAATTTCACACTTGTCTTTGTACCTTCGTTCACCTTCTCTAGCATATGCAAATAACAATACAATTTCTTGTAGCTCTCTCCTGGATCACCACGCAGATCATAAGCATGACGATTTTTCCCTCTCAACGCCGTGGAGTAGGATATCTTCACACCAAATCTGGTCTGAACAAGCTTCTGGATAGTTCCAGGATTTGGTGTCTCCATTGATCCTGGATAATCTCCATGCAACAAACATGCAACTAAATCTGGAGTGCCTTTCCTCTTCTTTACTGTACTCTGACTAGCCCGGGAGCATGTATGCATCTTGTGGTGCGTTCTAATTGAGAAAGAAAACCGTGTATTTAGTACCTTTGCAGCTCGTAATTTCCACTCACACCTTTTATGTTGACATTTCACCACATATCGTTCCTTATCTGATTTCACTAGCACAAAACCAAAAGAGTTCTCAAATGCAGCTTTATCCACCATTCTCTGCACTGCCTTCTTATTTGGAAACTCTTGAAGTAATCTGACATTCAAACCATCTTCCCATGGCTCTGTATACTGACTAGCTAGTACAACAGGTGGTTCATCATATTCGTTGTGCCTATATTCGCCTGTAACATCATCCTCATCCATCTCCTGAGCTTCTTTTTCTGCTTCCTCTTCATGCTCTGCATCCTCCTCCTCTTCTTGTTCTGCTTCCTCTTCTTGTTCTGCCTCCTCTTCTTGTTCTGCTTCGACGTTGTTGCCTACATATAGAGCCACGGCATTACCTCCAATTTCATCATCATTATAGTTCACACCAACAGAACTTTCCTTCTCTGCTCTAGATACTTGCGCCGTGGGCTGTGTTGAGGAAGCCGTGACCTCTACATGCAACATACATCTACAGCCTTGGGGATCAACTGAACTTAGATAGCACCTGAGATCGTCATCAGAAGCTACGGTCGTGTATTCGTCGCATCTCACAATCAGGGGAATGTATCTCAATTTCAATTCCACCATTTTTTCATCCCACCCAAACTTCTTGCATATCAAAGCTTTTACCATCAATAGTGTTATCTCGTTCGTTGATGTCTTCACCAATAAACTGTACAAGATACCTTTGCATTTGAAATGTAAGCTGACGTCGTCACCCATCATATCCTACCAAAACAAAGTCAAAACTTTATCAGTATTACTAGTTTTACACAGTTATGCATTTTTACATCACAAAGTTATACCAGTTATATCAGTTCTACCAAGTTTCACGATTTTGGGCTAAACCAATTCTGATAAATCAATGCAATTATTTGCCAAATATAACTTTTAATTATCCAAAAACTGTGATATAAAACACAAGATATGATTTTTGAAGCTGCAAATTCATCGTAGTTATACTTAGTTTACCTAGTTATACTATCACAATTAGTTATACGAGTTATACTCAGTTGTACTATCGGCGGAGATTCCCAAAACTAGCTCACTCTTCTACTTACGGTTCGCTTCGATTCAAGCCCTGCATTACGTTCTTTGCTAATGCAGAGTACTAATCGAACAAAAAAGCATTGCTAAACACCCAATTGTCTGATTTATTCAAGAGAAAATGACGAATTCCAACTATGAACAACTGAACATACCTGAGTTGTGTTTTTTCTCCCTGCGGCTGCGAATTACGCCGACTACGGTACCGAAGCAACGAGATTATGATTGACAGGGAAAGAAGGAGCTTGGGACGACCGGGATAAGCTTCAGAGAGCTCGATCTGGAAGATGGAGGAGAGCCCGAGGAGAAGGAGCGGGAGACTCGAGAGGAGAGAGAGAGTAAAGGCGGGAGGAAAGAGGAGAGAGAGAGAGAAAGCAAACGCGGGTTCTGAAATCCCGATGCCAAACGCCAATTCAACCAAAACGCCAAACTTGTTTTTCTTTTTCCAATTTTGAATTAATTTTTCAGAATTCATTAAGGGTATTTTCGTCAATTGTACAAGGAGAGGGATAAAGAGATTAAGTTGGGAGATTTGTGATTGTCATAAAGATAGATTGAGAGAAGAGATGATGTCTCCTTTATTCTTTCCCCATAAAATAGAAGAAAGACACCAACTTTAAAAAGAGAACAAGAAGAAATGACGAAGAAGAAGAAAGGCAACAACTTTCAGCCAATTAAGTTTGTTTATGTTTCTGTGTTTATGCGTTGGAGACGGCGGCGTTAGAGTCACAACTTTCAACAATTAAGTTTGTTTTTGTTTATGTGTTTATGGGTTGGAGACGGTTGTTGGAGTCGGAGTCCGCGATGGCAGCGGCGTTGGAATCGGAGTCCAAAGCAACAAACAAATACAAATTAGTGTTTTGGGGTGTTAGTTTCTATGTCGATTTTTCTCTGTTTGTTATGAACTTATATGGATGATTGCGGAAAGATCGATGAGAGAAGATTTGTGCTTGGTATATTGATTTTAGGCTTGAAAGTTTTCGATTTTCACATTTTTTTCTGATTATTGCAAGTTGAATTTCTTTTGTTATAGCAGAGCTTTTGCAAAATGGTGCTACAAATTTCAACATTTGAGGTTTCAAACTAAGAATCGATGGCTATTTAGCATTATTGAGTTATGATGATCTTTCAGATTAAAAATGATGCGCTTTCACAAAGCTTGTCATCGTTTCTCTCTCTTGCCTCTCTGCCATTTATCTCCGCCATCTGCTTCTCTCCTTCTCTCCTTCTTCAATTCTCTTTATGTGTAGTTTCTTGCTGTTGCAATTTGATTGAATGGGATGGCTTCATATTTTGGGAAGAACGGGCTTGGATAGTTTATTTTGGATGATTTGAGTCTATGGACAGATTTATTTGGATGATCTAGTGACGAATTAAGGAGTGTCCATACATAAAGCGTGGAAATAAAGAAGCATCCAAACAGGGCAATAAAAGCATCCAACGAATCATTGAACAAAGTGTAAAATGAAGAGATTCTCTGCTGCAATGAGTAAGTATGATAAGTGTTGGAGTCAATAATAAGTCCATTGAGACTAAGTCTTTATCTGTTTCAGTTGTTGGAGTCAATAAGGCGAAGTTTTAGGATCTGAGCCAAGTCTAAGCTAGTTAAGTTAGTTGTCCTATTTTTTCTCAATTTCAGTTTGATGTAAGGCTATTTAAAGCCACTTTGCTTTCAATGAATAATCATCCGAGAATTATCTCAGAAACCTGCAGCTTTCTCTTAACATTGTGGTATCAGAGCCTCCTCTAAGGGATCTGATTGAGTGAAACACGAATGAGTTCTTGAGTGAAGCGTACAAGTGAGTTTGTGTGTGAAACACAAGTGAGTGTGTGTGAGACAAGAGTGAAACACGAGCGAGTTAGAGTGAGAGATGGCTGGTGAATCAAGCAATTTCAGTGCCCTGAGTGTGCCGAAATTCGACGGAGACTACGATCATTGGAGTTTGTTGATGGAGAACCTGCTGCGTTCAAAGGAGTATTGGTGTGTGATTCAACCAGGTTACAAGGAACCTGGAGCTAACGAAGAGCTAACCGGGCCGCAGAGAAAGGCGCTGGATGAAGCAAGGCTGAAGGATCTGAAAGCAAAGAACTACCTGTTTCAGTCCATTGATAAGTCTATTCTTAAGACTATCACTCAAAAGGAGACGGCAAAGAAACTTTGGGACTCGATGAAAATCAAGTACCAAGGTAACGAGAGGGTGAAGCGTGCTCAGTTGCAGAGGCTGAGAAGAGTGTTTGAGACTTTGGAGATGAAGATGGGAGAGACTGTGACAGACTATTTCGGAAGAGTTATGGCCACGGCAAATGATATGCGAAACTATGGAGAAAGTATGGAAGATGTGAAGATAGTGGAGAAAATTCTCCAAACCTTGACGGAGAATTTTAACTAGTCGTATGCTCAATTGAGGAGTCGAAAGACATTGATGAAATGACCGTCGACGGGCTACACAGCTCGTTGCTCGTTCATGAGCAAAAGATACGCCGTAGAGGAAATGAAGAGCAAGTACTCAAGGTAGAGTACGATCACCAATCTGGACGAGGAAGAGGAAGGGGTTACTCTGGCAGAGGAGGTAGCAGCACTACCAGAGGAAGAGGAGGAACCAGACCACCTCTTAACAGAGCCACCGTCGAGTGTTTTAGGTGTCACAAGCTGGGGCATTTTCAGTATGAGTGCCCTACTACTGAAAAAGGAGCAAATTACGTGGAGGTTGACGAGGGAGAGCCGTTGCTTCTGATGGCACATACAGAGATCACAGAGAAGGAAGTTAGAGGGCTGTGGTTTCACGACTCAGGCTGCTCGAACTACATGACGGGAAACAAAGAATGGTTCATGGAGCTTGATGACAATTTCAGACATGGTGTGAGGCTGGGAAACAGTTCGAGAATGGAGGTTATCGGAAAAGGAGATGTCAAATTTGAGGTCGAAGGACTGACTCAAATTGTAAGTGACGTCCTTTTTGTTCCCGATTTAACCAATATCTGCTGAGTGTTGGGCAACTGCAAGAGAAGGGTGTAGAAGTTCTGATTAGCGAGGGAAGATGCAAGTTATTTCGCCCTCGAAGAGGCCTGATTGTGAACACTAAAATGACTGCAAATCGCATGTTCATAGTGTCTGAAATCATGAAGATCGATATGGATAAATGTCTGAAGGTTGAAGAAGATGAGAAAGCATGTCTTTGGCACAAACGCTACGGTCATCTCAACAACACATCCATCCGAGCTATGCTTGACAAGCAGTTGGTGAAAGGGCTCCCTCAAATGAAAGAAGCATCAAAGGTGTGTGAAGTTTGCAACATTGTGAAGCAACATCGTGAAGCTATTCCCAAGAAGAGTCAATGGAGAGAAACAGAGAAGCTGAAGCTCATTCACGCTGGTTTGTGCGGTCCCATATCTCCAATCTCTCACAGTGGGAAAAAGTACATCTTTCTCCTGGTTGATGATTTTAGTCGTAAGAGTTGGATATATCTTCTTTCGGAGAAGAATGAGGCATTTGATGTTTTTAAGACTTTCAAAAGTCTTGTGGAGAAGGAAGCAGGAACATCGTTATGTTCTTTGAGAACAGATAGAGGAGGAGAGTTCACCTCAAATGCTTTCAATCAATTCTGCAAGGAGCATGGGATTTAAAGGCAGCTTACTGCAGCTTATACGCCACAACAAAATGGGGTTGCGGAGAGGAGAAATCGCACAATAATGAATATGGTGAGGTGTCTGCTCACTGAGAAGAATATGCCAAGGAGTTTTTGGCCTGAAGCTGCAAAATGGACATGTCATGTCCTAAACCGAAGCGTAACAAATGTGGTGAAAGATATGGTTCCGGAAGAGTGTTGGAGCGGAATCAAACCCAATGTGGGATACTTCAGAGTCTTCGGGTGCATTGGTCATGTGCACGTGCCTGATCAGCGGAGAATAAAGCTTGATAGCAGGAGCCGTAAGTGTGTCATTCTTGGAGTGAGTGAGGAATAAAAGCATATCGACTCTATGACCCAATCTCGAAACAAGTGGTCATTAGTTGAGATGTGATATTTGAAGAACAGGAGAAATGGGTTTGGAGCGCAGATGAGAATGGTACCAACGAGATTCTGGACTGGGGAGAAGAAGAGTTAAATGGAGAAGATGATACAGAAGAAGAAACTGAGGCTGCTGAAGAAGGAGACGAGGATACAGAAAACCCAGAAAATCCTGCAGTCGTTGATGAAAATGCAGGAAATGTTGGAAATTCTCCACAGCCAGAGGTACAAGAGATGAGAGATCGAAGAGCACCATTGTGAATGCAAGATTACGAAAGTGGAGAGAGGATCTCAGATGAAGAAGAAGTTATGGCATTAGCTCTGTTTTTGTCTCATGATGATCTAGTAAGGTTTTCAGAAGCAAGTAGAGAAGAGAAATGGATGGAGGCGATGAGAAGCGAGATACAAGCTATTGAGAAGAATCAAACGTGGGAGCTTGTTAACCTCCCAACAGATGCGAAGAAGATTGGAGTTAAGTGGGTTTACAAGACCAAACTGAATGAAGATGGGAACGTTGACAAGTATAAGGCAAGATTGGTCATGAAAGGATATGCACAAGAAGAAGGCATTGACTATGATGAAGTCTTTGCTCCAGTAGCTCATTGGGATACTATTCGAATTCTATTGGCTGTGGCGGCGCAGAGAGGTTGGAAAGTGTATCAGTTAGACGTAAAGAGTGCCTTTCTTTATGGAGAATTGAAAGAGGTGGTGTACGTGGATCAGCCGGAGGGGTTCATTAAGAGAGGAGAAGAAGATAAAGTGTACCGCTTGAAGAAAGCACTTTATGGATTAAAACAGGCCCCTAGAGCCTGGTTTTGTCGGATTGATGGATACTTCAAGCGATCAGGGTTCACCAGAAGCAGCCATGATCATACTCTGTTCTTTAAACGAGAAGGAGAAAAATACATGATGGTGAGTATTTATGTTGATGATCTGATTTTTTCTGGGAATGATGAGGTGATGCTTGAAGAATTCAAGCAATCAATGAAGCGAGAGTTTGAGATGACTGATCTCGGGCTGATGAGGTTCTTTCTTGGTGTGGAAGTCCGTCAAAGCTCTGATGGAATTCATCTCTGTCAGAAGAAATATGCCTTGGAGGTGTTAGAGAGGTTCAAGATGGCGGATTGCAACCCAGTCAAAAATCTGATTGTTCCAGGAGCTAAGCTGTCAAAGGAAGGAGCGGGAGAAGAAATCGATGCTACTTTGTACAAGCAACTAGTTGGATGCTTAATGTATGTGGCCTGACATGATGTATGTGGTCTGTTTGATATCACGCTTTATGGCAAATCCAAGAGAAGAGCATATGCTGGCTGCAAAGAGAGCATTGAGGTACCTGAGAGGTACGCTGGAGCTAGGTATTTTTTATAAGAAAGGGTATGAGTTGAAAGTGATCGCGTACACGGACAGTGACTATGCCGGAGACGTTAAGGATCGTAAAAGCACTTCGGGTTATGTGTTTTTGCTAAGTGGAGCAGCAGTGTGTTGGAGCTCAAGGAAACAAGTAGTGGTTACTTTGTCTTCCACCGAGGCTGAGTATGTTGCTGCAACATCATGTGCGTGCCATTGTGTTTGGTTCAAAGGAGTTCTGGAGCATAACTTTCTTGAGCAGGGTACATGTATGGAGATTTTCTGTGACAATACTTCATCGATCAAGCTGTCAAGGAATCCGGTGATGCATAGGCACACAAAACACATCGATGTAAGGTACCATTACTTGTGTGATCTTACAAATCAAGAAGTAGTAAAGTTGGTGTTTTGTGGAACGGGAGAACAAGTTGCAGACATCATGACAAAACCAGTGAAGTTGGAGACTTTTGTTAAGCTGCGAGGGCTACTTGGAATGCAAGCACAAGGAGTTTAAACTGGATGTTTATGCAAACATGTCCAGTTTAAGGGAGGGTTTGTTGGAGTCAATAATAAGTCCATTGAGACTAAGTCTTTATCTGCTTCAGTTGTTGGAGTCAATAAGGCTGAGTTAGTTGTCCTTTTTTTCCTCAATTTCAGTTCGATGTAAGGCTATTTAAAGCCAGTTTGCTTTCAATGAATAATCATCCAAAAATTATCTCAGAAACCTGCAGCTTTCTCTTAACAATAAGACATCGAAGATGCAGAAGTAAGAGCAAAAGACATCTTTAGAAAAATCTGGACTTTAATAAGCTGTGGGAATATTCCGTAAGCGGGACCGAGTTGGTAATTGATTTGCAGAGACTCTGAGAGGAATATGTAAAATCTTAATTTCAACTTAAACTTATCCAATTGTGAATCATCCAAAACAAGTGTCCATGAGAAATTAGGAAGGTGTCCACGGAACAAGTGTCATCTAAACTATCCATGCTGAAATTATCCAATTGTGAATCATCAGAGAAAATGACATTAAAATCATCAGAACCGAGTTCGTGAAATCGGCATTAGAAAATCAAATTGAATGGTAAGTATATGTGGTAATCGTTCTAAATATCGGCTACAAACATGACTTAGTACTAAAGACAACCAGATCTGTAAGAACAATCAAACAATCTAACGAGACCAATTTTGTTTGTATTTGGGAATTGAAATTAGTCAAAGACAGTAGAGAGAAATTCATTTGAACATGCGTAAAATTTGTAATTGGGTATTGGAATAATTCATTCATTCTTCGTCGACGAAGTCCTCTTTCTTCTCTTCTCCTTGAATGCCTTTCTCGCTCTCATCGTCCTTCATTATCGGATCCTTCCAAAAAGCTCGGGATCTTCTTCAGCCGGCGGGATATCTCAGCGGAAGTTAGGTGAGCGACGACGAGAAATCGTGCGGGAGTTAGGTGAGGATGCGAGAGAGAATCGGAGGAGAGAGTGAGGGAGAAGAGAGTAGCTCCGAATCTGATGGGCTCCTGAAATTGGCGGTGAAAAGAGTTCTCCACTAATTATCGGCGGTACAAAGTTAATTACGGCGATGTAGGTTTGATATATTCATATCTTTCATGTTTTTATCAAGGTTTTCACTATGTTTTTAATACAAATAATGTGGTTTTTAAGCCCAAGAGGTAGTTTTCTTGTATATTCTGGTTTTGAGCATCATTCAGGTCAAAATAGCAAAGAAGAGTCAAAATGGAGCAAAAGAGTCAAATCACCAAGTTCCCAAGTCTAGAGCACCAAAATCTACATTTCTCGCTAAAGACCAAACCGGAGCATCCGAAGTACGACCGCATATTCATGCCTTCCCGACGTCCAAAAGTCATGATTCTTATATGGAAAGATAGATATTTGAGTCGTGACCCGCGGCGAAGTGGAAAGAGGTCATTTGGATCACTCGTTGGACCGGAACTTATTTTCTACCAAGACATGTCCGACGAGCGCCTAAGTAGAGCCCATGGAGACTTTGATGGATCAAGAGGCCCGAGCACCGCGCCCAAGGCCTTGGCTCATCTTGACACTAGCATAACTCAATCCAGAAGCTTCCATTGGCCTGAACGCGGCCCATTCAAGAACTTGGAGAGCAAGCTCAAGCGGCTAAAGAGAAATGGAAACTTTCCTCTTCTGCGCGCGCTCAACTTTGCCGACCTAGACCCGCTCTCTACCTATATATACTTGCTTTTAGCCTCTTGTAATAAGAATCACCAGCCGCATAACAAGAAACACTTATTCAATAAAGTTCGGAGCCACTTAGGTGGTCTCCTTCTTCTTTCTTTTCTTCTTTTGCATTTGTATATAGCTTGCATGTTTCAATTTATATAGTCTAGAAGTAGAGATTTCTCCCTAAGGGTGAGGCGGTTTAGTCATATTCCGCCGCCTCTCTCTCTAAGGATTCATGAGACTTCATCTACTATCTAAGACTCATTGTTGAATTATGGATCCTTCCAATGAGGACGTGATATAATGGCCATCGAAAATCGATTGTTAAAAGGGGAAACCCTATGGTTCTCCATCTTTATTTATGCTTAATGCTTGTTGCTAGAGTAGCTAACTAGTGACTTGATTTTAGGTTGATATACTCTCCAAAAGCTTGTTATATCTCCGGATATATATTTGATGGGCAAATCGTTTTAGGCTACGAAAGTAGACCTAAAGAGTTTTGTGAACAATCATTACTTGGATGTAATGCATGTCTCACTCTACAATGACCAACGAAAGCTGAGCCCATTGGTTTAAGAGACATAGGGGATTGGAACCACGAAAGTGGAATAATCCTTCCTTAGTGTTTTGAGTTCAAAAGAATCGGATTTTAACAAACTTTTCAATCGACTTGGCTCATGTTTTCAAAAGAGTTTTCAATAGTTCAATAATGTTGCTTGTATAGAATTGCATTGTTATTTCTTTTGCGTGTTCTAAACAAACACAAACCCTTGCATCTTTTGATTTAGCTTAGTCATTTAAACTCTATGATTATGTAATGTGTGAAATCCAATCCCTTGTGGTTCGACCCCTAAATACTACAATTATATGTTGTGCACTTGCAACACTAGTTGTCTTAGGGAATTATTACTTGTACTCATCCCATAGATGCAGCCGCATCAAGTTTTTGGCGCCGTTGCCGGGGATTGCATCATAAACACTTGCATAGTCTTGTTTAAAACTAAGTCTAGATCTTGGTATTTTCGAATACTAACTTTTTCTTTTTAAATCTTGTGTTTATAGGTACTTGGAGATGAATCACAACACCAACATCCACTTTGGGAACCGGACACTGATCCCACACGATCTCCACGGCCGGAGTTACCAAGACCCAGCCGTAAGCATCGTGCCACATCCGTTCCCTCCCAACCGCGCTCATCCGACGTTTGAAGGACCTAGCCGAGACGAGCATCATTACCATCATCATCAAAACCGACCTCCGGTTTATCATCAACCACCTAGACCAGTGTTGCATTCACACCACGACCATGTTCTCAATAGGCGGAGAGATAGCCATTTCGATGCCGTGCTTGAGGGTTTCATGGAGAGCCAAAGAAAACTAGCCGCGACATTGAGACAAAGCTAGAGTTCACGCGATACGAACTAGATGGAAGACTTGGAGAACTCTCTACCCAAATAGAGAGAGTAGAGTCAAGATGCTTGGACATGGAGGAAGATTTGAAGAAGCAAGGCGAGGCCATTGAAGACAATAGGAGAGCGATACACTTTACCAAAGTTTCTACCAAGGAGATGGACAATCACTTAGATGAGAAGATCACAAGTCTTGATAACAACCTCGATGGCACCACCAAGAGTCTCAATTCAATAACAGCAGTAGCTCATCAAGCTAAGAGGGAGGTAGCCGAAGTGACCTAAAGGAGAGGCAATGTTACTCGACGATGCTTACATTGGTGGAAGGGCAAAAACAAGTGAAGGCACAAATCCGAGATTTACACATCTCTCTAGACAAGAGGAGCCAAGATATTCAAAGAAGAGCTAGAGGGCTTGAAGACAAAGTAGATGGAGTCTCCAAGGAAGTCAAGGATTTAACCACTCGCTTAGCCAACTTGGAAGAGAAGGTCTTGACCGAGCAAAGACGACCGTTCCTAAGCACAACCATGCCGCGCCGTCTTTACTATAAGAGAGACCGACCCAAGAGTGATTTGGGATGAAGAAAAGAGAAGAGCTGATCAAGAAAGAGCCACAAGGCTAACCACTGGAACAAGAGAAGATAGCACCAAAAGGAAGAACCCTTACTCAAAGTCTTCACAACCGCCTCCCACCAAGGAGAAGAGGAAGACAAGATCATCACTTGAAGAGATCATAGATGATTTCAACTTTATGGCGAGGAGATTCCCTTATGGTGTGCCGTTTGATAATGCTTGCAACAAGAGTCCATTCATGCAAGACCTAGCTTGGACACAAGATTGGAGTCTAGCTGAAATGGAAAAGATGTACGAGGAAGCAAGAAAGGGGATGCCTAAACCTAGGTTTCTACACAAGCTTCATGACCCAGGTTACTTCCTTATACATTTCTCTATCAATGGAAGCTACTTTGATGATGCTCTTTGCGATTCCGGTTCTAGTGTGAACCTTATGCCGGCCGAGATAGCCAAGAAGTTGGGATTGATCAATTCAATTGTGAAATCTCGAATGGATTTAAAGCTAGCTGATTCATCATTGACCGAACCACTTGGAGAGGTTAAAGACATTCAGCTTGATTTTGGAGGCTGCATAGTTCCAGCCAACTTCTATGTAGTAACCATGAAGGATCCGGAGGACTTAAAGCTTTTGCTTGGAAGATCATTCCTAGCCACAGCTGGAGCGATCATGGATTGGCCTAATAGAAGAATCTCTCTAGCCAATGTTGACAAGGACACCTTCTACGATGCTGCACCTCCCGGTTTCTCATCCAAGCGATTTCGCTACACAAGTGGAGGAGAGTGCTCACAAGTAAGAGGAGAGTCGCATGGCTACTTGATCAAGGAAGTTCTACAGGACAAGATGCACTTGGAATCATCAGGCAACAGGAAGTTCTTGGAGCCACCAATCCTACCTAACTAAGAACACAAAGGAGTCGAGCTACAAAGACTTAAAACAAGCGCTTGTGGGAGGCAACCCACATTTTCTTATCCCTTCCTCTTTTTATTTTTTTTTTATTTTTATAACTACTTATTTGTTCTATTTATAACTCTTAAATTTTTGAGAGTTTAATAAATTTTACAAAAATAAAATAAAAAGTGTTTTAGGAAAAAGTACCAAAAAGGAGGCTTACATGAAAAATGCATTGGAAAAGCTACATCGCCACTAATCGGCCCAAGATTAACCATCTTTGGTCTAAGTGTTCAAGTATTGAGTCTAGTTTGAGTCCCACCCAAGTCCCACCCATGTTTCAAGAAGCAAAGAAGTCCAAGAAGGGCCGCGGCACAACAAAATCCGGCCATTGGAACACTATTGCACAAGGCAAAGGTAAGTATCACTTCCATTCTTATGTCATTTCTTTTAAACACTATTTCTATCAAATTAAACCAATACACTACTTGGATTTCTGATCAAGATCCCAAGTACATATGGTTTCACGATCAAGTCTTTGATTGGGAAGTTCAAACATTTTGAACAACTCAATCATTGACAGAGTTTAACAAAAGTTACTAGTGTTTTTCAGATTACAATATGACAGGAGAACCGGTTCAGAACATCACACCAACAAGGCGAACAAGAAAGCCAGTGCCGGTCCAACAAATTTAAATGCTCTACTCGAATCTAAAAAGTATGTATTTCAAATTTTTTTTTCCAAAATCACAAAAACAGTAAAAATACAAAAAAAAAACCTTAAAACTTCATAAAATAAACAAGTTCTAAATAAAAAATTCCCAGTTAGTAAATAGTTTGCAAAAAAAAAAAAAAACTGATTTCTTATGGTTTAAATAAAGCTTTTCTTAGATTTTGAGCTGCAAATCATTACTCACATAATGATACACATACTAAAGATATTTGTTAACAAATGCCCTATAAATATTAATATCACTAAAAAGGTTTTGAAACTTTATACATGATATATAAACCCCTTTAAAAAAAATTAACAAAAATATGTTCTTGTTAAAACTTTGTAAATAATACCTTAAGTAACTAAAATATGCCATTGTTAAAATTTTGTAAATGATATTTCTACACCCCTTAAGAATTTTTTATCAAAAATATGCCTCTAATAACTGGATGCCCTACTCGGCCGCTTACCCTGCATGTGCTCAGGGCCGGCCATGTGGCCAAGGAAGGAGTCACATACAAAATATGAGAGATTAGGGAGAATCCAACCAATTTCAATCCAGGAGGGATAGAAAAACAGTTCGGTCGAAGCAGAACTCAATTGGCCCGAGTAAAATAGGAGATATCGCATACAAGATCACTCTCTCGGCCAACATCGACGAACCAAGGGACCACACTCGACCATCTCACAAACGGCACGACCGAAGTCCACCAAACTTCACAGGCGACCTCACAAAATCATTTTGGTCAGCAAATCCAAACGATAGGACGAGGAAAAGTGCTTGAAACGGGAGATAGACGAGGAAGATCAATACGGCCGACGGCGATGCATCACATGGCCAACAAATATAAAACCTCAAGAAGGCGCGAACACCAGTGGAAACTGATCCTCTGGCGTCCAAAAAACACCAAGGAAGAAGAAAAGAAGGAGACGATCGA